TGATAGCACCTCCATATCTCTCCTGCTCCTGTCACCCTCCCCCAGCTCCGTGTACTGGGTTGTGTCGACATCGTGGCCATGACAGCACCGGCAGCCGCAGCAACTGGCGGCACGGCACCACGGTCGAAGCCCGCTCGGTCCTTATCTTTCTCCTTTTCTTTGCTCTTTTCCGCCACACTACTGAGCTGCAGTGGGCGACGGTAGCGACTGGACCGTGTAGTGTTCTTCTCGTCACCTCCACGCACAGTCCGACGCCGAGGTCGTGACGTCGACTCTGAGATCTGCAAGTCCCCCAGCAACAGAAAGTGTCAAGACCAGACCAACACACAAATGTTCGTGCTCTTGCAGCCTTACCAGCGAGAAATTGACGTCCGGATCGCTTCTTGCGCCCTCAATCTACACGCAAAGCATACAATTCGTCAGCGTCGAACTTAGGGAAACACCGCAAGCTTCGTGAACGAACCGCATCCATCATCAACGTCGCTCGATCTTGGCAAAGCTGTAAAAGTACAGTGATGGCAGGAGATTCCAGTGTTTCAAACTCAGACGTGAGGCTCCTCTCGCCTTCGTAACCTACGGGTGGTGGCCATAGTCGAGAGGCCGGTATAGCATTTTGGTATGGGTCGTTGCAGTTCGTGATGCCCATAAGTTTTACAATTCTCGCGGCCCCGGTTATCACCTCTTTGGAGCTGGTGAGGAGACTCGCCTGGGTGTACTCTGTACGTGCGAGTTCTACTTCGGCAGCGCGTAGTTTCTGTTCTAGGATCCGTGGATCTTCCGTTGTAGCCGTAGCCTGCGATAACTCGAGAGAGTGCAGCTGCTCCTCCAACTCCGCCTGGTTCAGTTTGATTTGTTTCAGACGAGCCTCATAGAGTTTGGCTTGCTCCTCAAAACTCGCGTTGAGTTCCTCACGACGTGAAAATTTCTGGAAAATGAGCTCCATTTTGGAAAACCCGGTGGCTTTCTGAATCTTGTCGCACATGGACTCACACTGCTGCAATGCAACTTTGGTAGCAAGTGACCTTGTTGTGGCGCTGAATGATTGTCGAGCTTGTCTTCGCGCTTCTTCCTCTGTTGTGGCGCTGGCGCCTTTGCCACTCGCTGAGCGCACACTTTCAATCATCTCCAGTCGTCGCTGATACAACTTGACGGACGAAGCCTGATCGTGCGCAACTTTCTCGCGTGCACGCTCCAGTTTGTCCACTACTGCAGAGAGCAATTGCTTACTCTTTTCCACAGCTTTGCGCAGAATGGGTAGTTCTTCATTCTGCAAATGGGTCTTCTTCGTATACAGCACCTTTTTCTCATCTTGCAAGTCCTTGAGTTGCATCTGCAACAGACGCAACTCTTTCTTATTGGCTTCAAAATGTGCGGGGGCACAAGCGGGAAACAACTCGCATCCGCGAATGAGCTTGCGATGCGTTTT